AACAATAATAAAATAATTACTTAAATAATTAAATGAAATTAATAATGAGTGAACTCGATCCTTACAATTCATGACAAGTTAATATTTAATAATGTTTACAAAATATTTTTAGTGGAATAATGTATTACATTCATTAGGAAAATCATGAAATCATAAAATCATACAGTACGTAAAATTTTATTACACATTTTTTTCAATCAAACACAGTTTAAAAAATACTATGTAATTTTAAAAGAACAAACTATTCCTTCAGATCATTTTTATATTGCATAAACTCATTTCATTTTAATTTTTTAAATTTTATTTTTGTAAAAACCTGCCAACTAGACTATTTTTTCCTAACGATGGCACATTTAAATAAGATGTATTTAGTAAAAAAAATCTCACGGTCCATTAAGTGTCTGTAAATAAGATGAAAGTTTTATTTGGATTACAGTTTTTATACATTAGACAATTTTTATTTTATCCATAAAGTATTCAAATTAATGAGTGAAATACTTAGGATTCGTTTCAATTGTATTTTGTTCGCCTTCGTTTTTATTGCAGCACTTAGAAGTAACTTTGTTTTTCCAGTAGTTCTTTTTGTTAAAAAAGTATAATACTATCTTGGTTGTAACTCAAGTACCAGGAAAAAGTAAAATCTAATGAAATTAACTAAATATTAAAAAATATTATGTTGAAGAGAAAAATACAGACAGGCTTATGATGCAAGCAATTACACTCAACAAGCCAACAGGCAAGATCGCACTGAAGAAACAGTAACAAAGAAATAATTATTTCATGATTTACTTTGGATACAATCTTGTACGCATGAGTGCGAATGTACGTTGCAATGTCGGAAACATTCAACGTTTACTAGCTTTTTGCTATTATTACCATACATAACACATACCTTTATAAGTGTATACATCACGTAGAGAACTGTAATAATAACGATAAAAGACGCAAATTATTAAAATACGTTCAGTTTATATTTTCCAAAACAAATTATAAAGTCTAATTGAAGATAAGTATGGAGTAAAATGCTTGACAAACAGATAATAAAAATATTAAAATTATACATGGATGTGTACTGTTTGCTAGTTATCATGGCAGGTCGTCCGGATCTTCATGATGCAACCAAATATTTTTCCGGCGGTATTGCAGGGGCTGTCTCCAACTAAAATTTATAGAATTTTTACTAAATCATTACACAAATCCTTAAAAAAAAAAATGTTCCAGAAGGCTGAAATTAGTTTTTCCCTAATATTTAAGTCATTCACTACAAATTTTTCAATATTTTTTTTTTTTTTTTACAAGATTTACCTTGGCTGATCTTACGCCCCAGTTGATGTTATTCTACTAGGTTTTTAATGCCATTTAATAAAAAAAAAAATTCAAGGCAAAAATTTTTATTCTTACGTAAGAAATAAACTAGATACATTTTTTCCTTCATGGAATGTGGTAATTGCCAATTTTTTTTAAACTCTCACAGTAATTAACTGTAGTGAAACTTAAATCTAGTTTCTGCCATTGATGTATTAAAATAATTTAAAAAATTTACCTTGACTAAGGCATTCCACGCTTTCGTCAATTTTTTTTGGGCACAAGTCTCTCAATAATTGAGAGCGAGCGGTTTCCATATTTATAGTCCCATCAGAATCCATCTAAAATATTTTCCAAAATAATCGTAGAAATTATCAATCTATCAATTGAAAATTTTTCTGATCTTTCATTGTAGCGCTTTCGCGATTTCATAATTTTTTTTATATTTTGTGAAATCAAACATAAACGTATAAAATTTGTGCATGCTTGACAATGGGAATTTTCCAAATTTTCAATTTCTGTCAGTAGAATCGTACCTTCACCTCTTTTTTACAGGGTTCGCTGGTTGGTTACATATCGAATTATAAAGCAAAAAACAATAATTATATGTCACAGGAATATCCATTTTTTGTACTTTCTATTTTTTTTAATAAATACATTACTGAAGCCTTTTAATCCATTGTGTGACTGGGTAAGACCGATTTCGTGGTTTTTTAGTGGTTAAAAAAAATCTACTTTATGAAACAGTAGATATACTTTAAATGAATTGAGTTGACATCATTATTTAAATTCCGTAGGGTGATTTTATTGATATAATTTGTTTGCTCGTACAAAAATTTAAGTATTGAAATTAAAGTAAAATAAAACAACAAGTAATTTATAGTTACGATGTAATTTTTTATAGTTCTACTGTATAAAGCATTAACTTTGCAGTAAAAAAAATTTTTTTTTATCATATCAAAGAAAAAAATTGAGAAAAGAAAAAAAAAATTCAAAAATGAAAGAAAAAATTTCTTTTAGGTCGTGTGGTGTGTTAATTGAATTTTAAAACAAAAAAGTATTGGCAAGCGCCTTAAAAAATAGTTACGATAGTAATAATAAATTGATTAAAAGAACAGTACTGTTTAGTATGTATAGCACACATAATGTTTAGGCATTTGAAGGCATCGATTAAACAACATAATATTGAAGTATTTATTAGACTTACCATATCCATTTTCTTCAAGATACAGGCGAAGTAGCAATTTAGTTTCTCATCTTGGACTAGCTCCTCTTTATCGTCGTATGGTTGCATCAATACAGCTGAACGAGAAATATAGGTTTTTAATATACAAAGAATAAAAAGAAAAAAACTAATATTCAGCGACTCTTAAAATAAACTAAATTAATCCAACAAAAACCACAGTTTTTCCATCTCGAATTAATCGTAAATGGTAATTAGATACAAGTTTTGGTTGATCACCCACCTTCGTCAACTCCCGTTTCGGCAGTACAACTCTCCTTGTACTCCATGAGCTTTTCCGCTTCTTCATTGGAGAGACTCTGGATTTAAAAATTAGATTTTTTTTTTTTTTTAAATTAAAATTATAAAATTACTTCGCTTAAACCACTAAAGTTTTACTATAGAAAACCAAAATGCTTGAAATATGTACTGTAAGTTTTATAACTCGATAAAACTATTTTAGTAAATAACATTGCGGGTATGCTCAACAAAAAGAGAATGGACGATTTTTGGCTAAGTTGGTATAGTATTTTTTTAATGTAGAATCTGAAGGAGGGATTCCCCATACTGGCTGCATCTCGCCAGATGCTTCATAAACGCTTCAAATTTCATTGACTTAGATTTTTAGATACAACCCACGTACGTGTATATCCGATTGAATGCTTTTAAAAATGCCAGTTTCACAAAGTTTTCCCGTAGCTCATTTCAACATCCAGTTACAGTATAGTTCTAAGACTTGTACAATATTCCAGCTGATGAGAAGATCTAAGCAATGAATACTTTTATTTCAGGGTGATGGAGGCAGCCCTCTCGTTTGCCCATCGAAGAAAGACCCGAAACGATACTACGAGGCCGGTATTGTTGCTTGGGGTATCGGTTGCAACGACGATGTTCCGGGTGCCTACGCTAACGTAGCCTTGGCCCGAAAATGGATCGATGAAATTTTCTACCAGCACAAAATGACACCAACTTATAAACTGGAGTAGAATGTCAATGAACGTCAATGACATGCTCCTTGAAAAAATTTCTTTTGCTGTACTCAGTACGTAATAAAGATACATCAACTTAATGCTCACTTGTTATTTATACATTTTTTCCTTCACGATTATGTAATTTACATTGATCATTCAATCATCCACTTTAATTGACATTGACTTTATGATGAGTTTTTAAAAGTTTGTTGATTTTGGAAGTANATTAAAAAAAAAAAAATTCAACATAACTGTTTATCGTATTCCCTGTATATCTAAAATTTCAATTTTATAAAATTATTCTTAGTTTGAACAAAAAGTTATATGTACAATAATGCATAGGTTAAGTATGTTACACAGTATTTTTTCAGCAAGATAAAAAAACGTACTACGAAGTGAGAAAATTTTAATGATCAGTCAACACTACATGTGAATTAAAAACAACTTCTTATCATGCATCATTAAAAAATGTTTTTGATGGGTGCGCAAAGCGTAACTGATCCGTCTAGTAGACATAAAAACATAATCGTTGTTAAACTAGAGTTTTTTTGTTATTATAGCAACGTCTCGTCAGGTATATGTTGGGATCATGTGAGGCTAATAAGAAACATATTTAACATCTATCATGTTATTATTTCCATTTTCCTAAGTGGATAGATAGTTGATACAATGAAACCTCAAATTAAAACAAAGTAAATAATTATTAAAAATTTAATTACTCTTCATCTCATGTACCGATTTCTGCACACACATAAGTGTATGTGAGAGAGAGTTTAGTTAAACTTGTGTTAAGTAATTTAATTACACATTTTATCCTGGTTTCAGCTACAGTGCTAGATTTTCGATTAATTGTTTAAAACCTTGTAACTCTTTAAAACTAACTTTTTGTAATGAGTTACTTATTTTTAAAGAGGTTTATAAATTGACACTGTAAGATATGGTAAATACAGATGGTTTTGATAGAGGTGGATATATCATGCTTTCACTTTGAATTTGTTGTTTTAAAATTTTGGAAGAAAATTTTATACGCTATGAAAACCGATATTGCTATAAAATAGTTTTACCATAAGGAATATTTATTTTAAATCGTACATACATACTGTAAGTTAAAAAGTTTAGCATTAGAAGCTTTGTTGTAATTTATACATCTTATACAGATTTCAACAATTAATTTATAAAATTTACATAGTTAGAAAAAAAAAGAATCATAGTGTCGCTTCTTAGTTCAACTCAGAGGCCATCCGGATCTTCATTACACAGCCTAAGAGTTTCCCGGCAGTGTCGCAGGTATTGTTTCCAACTAAAATCAATGTGTTTTTAATCAAATTATTGCATGGTTAAAGATAAGAAAATTTTGTTTTAATTAACTAGGTAAATTATTTATGTATCTTAGGTTGACAATTCAAACTTCTTGTTAGAACAAAAACTTAGGATTTTTTTTCTACAAGATTTACATTTTCTCTGATGATTTAGGTATGGTTAATTTAGGGCTAAACTTTTTCGCGGGTTTTCTAGGTTTTGAAGGAAAAAATTAGGGGCAAACTTTTTCAACAATCTAAAGTACTTAGTAGAGGCTGGTCTAGTCTACTAGAAAAAAAGTATGAAATCAGTTATGAAATCCTCACCACTAAAAACTTAATGTAATCAAAATTAACAGTTCTATACTTTACAGTGATATTTTATTATATTTAATAATCAAGCAAAACAATTCACCTTGGGCTATACACTTTACGGCTTCGTGCATTTTTTCTTGAGACAATCCTTGCGACACCATAGATCGAGCAACTTCCTCGTTAATGGTACCATCAGGTTTCATCTAAAATATTTGTTAGGAGAAAGGTAAATTAATGTCAATTGATTCAATAAATGCATCAATTGATGTTTATCGTGCACATGTTATTTATTTCAATTTTTGAAGCTCAGAGAGAGATTAAAAAAAAAAAAAAAAA